AAAAGAAAATCTCATCAAAATCGATACTAAGATTTTGAAAAAACATTTTCACTATCAATTAGCTTTGTACCTTACTAGCTTGTTATTATCCTTTTTCAGCTTTAACACCCATTTATTATACAATGGCCTTTTTAACAAGATCATATATACCATTTTTTCGTAATGAGTCCATCTTTTTTTTCATTATTTTTACCCAATGCTCTCTATCCAAAGTAATTTGCACATCTTGAAAGCTTTCTGACTTCCTCTCACTGGTAACTAAAATAAAATCTGAATTTAGATATCTGATGGATGGCCTATGCTTTAAAGTAGATTTCTTAGGCTAAAATTTTACACTACCTGATGTCAAAAGTAGCTTCCTCTACTCAACATTTTCTGACGAAAAAGACTACTCACCTTACTCAAAATTGATTGTATCTAGCTCATTATTAACTATGGTTGGCTCATTCCTATCCCTATGTTTTGCTCTTGCTCATTTTCACCATATATGGCTATTTTCAATGAAACTCTTATCGATGTTAAAATATCATATTCAATAATAACTTGTGTAATCTTTTTATTTTTTTAAGATCTGCTATGATTTTTTTTCATGAAGATCACATATCTATTTTTTACTGTCTTTCTCTTTACTGGATCCCATATCCTGTAGCCAAATTCCTCATCACCATATCATATAAACACATACTATGTGGTTTTACTGTCAAGCTTTGACCTATGCTCTTTCGACATATGCATGAATACTTTACACTGAAAAACTTTTTAAGTGAGAGTATGAAGCATCTTTCCCTGTCCACATTCTTCTTAGAATGTCAAAGCCCAAAGAACTGATAGTGATTTGTTAAACAAATAACAAGTTATGTTGACTGCTTCAGTTAAAAATGGCTTTGATAATTTTGCCATCCTCAATATACATCTGATTTTTTTTCACAATAATGTGGTTCATCCTTTCAGCTATACAATTATACTGTAGTGTTTTAGGTTTTATCATCTCATGCCTAATCCTATGTTTTGAACAATATTTTTTAAAATCTTTAGATGTATATTCCTTACCATTATCAATTCGAATACACTTCAAGGACAATCTTATCATCTTTCCACTATTGCAATGAAATTTTTAAAAGTACTATGATACTTGACTTTTGTTTTTCAATATATATATATATATACATACAAATCTTATGTAAAAGCATCATCAATAAATATGATAAAATACTTGCTACCACTCAATTATTCAATCTCAATGGGACCACATACGTTAGAATGAATCAATTTCAATTTATTTTCTTTTCTTTGAGAGCACTTACAAAAAGAAACTCAACAATACTTGCCCAACAATCAATAATCACATGAATCGAGAGACATACATTTAGTTAAGAAAATGAGAGACTGTCTTGCCAAAACCTATAATCCATTCTTACTCATGTGTACCAACCTCTTGTACCACATATTATTGAAACATCATCATCAACAGTATTTATCCAGTTATCGTTCAATTGCATGTATGTCTTATACATTGTGCTGCATGGTTTTCCTTTTGTAACTATCATAGATCTTTTAAGAAATTTTCATTACCCATTAGTTTGTCGACTTTCATATCTTTTCTTATCAAGGATATTAATTGCAAGCAAGTTCATTTTCATATCCAAAATGTATTTGACATCCATCAAAGTCAACATGTAACTTGTAATAATTTGTACAACAATATCATTGATCCCAACAATCTATAACACACTATTGTTATTCATCTTAGTGCAACCAAAGCCTCCTGCTTTGTAAGTTATAAATAACTCCATTTTAGAAACACAATGATATATTACTCTTATGTCAACTATCCTCTCAATGTCAAAATCAATAACGTGATTACAGTCATCATGTGTACAACTTAAAATAACTGAATCACTATATGAATTCACTATTGTAATATTGTCATCATCTAAACTCTTATTTTTCTCATATTTCCATTTTTGCTTCAAGATTTTGTAATATCACTTGATATGACCTGCATTACCACAATGGAAGCACTTCACTTTATCTTTGGACTTGGATCTATATTTAGATTTACAATGACTTTTTTAGTTCTAACCTTTGTCAATGCTTCAACCCCTATGTTTTATGACAAAAGGTTGATTCCTAATGTTTAAATCTTTTCACCTTGCTTCTTCATTAAACATACTATCATTTACTATCTCTAATGTCACCTTATAATCAGGAATTGAATTAAAAACAATCACAACAAGAGCATTTCAGCTGTTTGACAATGAACCCAAAAGAAATATCACCTTCATTTCTTCATCCATCTTAAGCTCCATAATAGTCATTCGATTAAATATATTTTAAAAATCACTCAAGTACTTTGTAATCGATCGTTCATCCCTGTATTGTAAAATTACAAGCTTTTTAACAAGCATGACTTTATTCATGCCTGTTTTTCTTTCATATTGTTAGCTTTATAGGTTAGATGGTGATCCAAGAAGGGGGGTGAATTGGATTTTTTCAAATTTTTTCAAAACAAATGATTTCAATATTGTTGAATGAAAATTAAAATAATAAGCACTTTTGATGAAAATATAATGAAAACAATAACAATTAATGAATCTAAAATCAAATATAAATAACAATAAATTGTAAGTAAATAAGGATAGAGAAATCAAACACAATAATTTATAGAGGTTCGGTCCTTCTTCACAAGGTACCTACGTCCTCTTTTCTTGCTTGTCCACACCAAGGCTTCAATCCACTATTCTTGAATTGAAAATACAACCTATTTTTTCTTTCTAAGGCTTAAGATAGAAACCTCTACCCTTTGTAGTATTTTACCCAATCTCACTATAATGCTCTCAAGAGGATACCTCACCTCTTGTTCTCTCCCACCCTTGTATATCAAAGGTAATTTTGCAAACAATAGAACAACCTTTCTAAGGCTAAGTCTTTGCTAAGTTTAAGTACAAGAAAATGATGAATGAACAACAAATAAAAATTGGATACAATAAAAACAAAGATATAGACTTTGAAGCTTTAAAAACTTTGATTCTTTAAAAAAATGAAAATGTGGCTTATTGGCTTTTGCTCTCTTGATTCATCAATCTTCTTGATGTGTTGGAGTGCCCAATTTATAGAGAAATTGAAGAGGTAACCGTTGGAAGTGTTTGAGAGAAGAAATGCCCGTTGAAATGATGAAAAAATAACCGTCGGAGTGCCCACACCTAGAATCGATCGATCCCTTCCATGAGGGGATCGATCTTGTCAGTTGCTGGGTGGTTGTTTCTTATTTTGTACTCTACTAACTAATTTGACCATAACTTGAGTTATACAAATCCAAATTACAAACCGTTTAAAAATTTGGAAACTAGACTTACAGGGCTTTCTATCACATAAATTTGGTCACCTAATTCACTGTGTACGAATTATAGTGAATTTTCAAAATTACACCTTGTATAATTTTTTTGACAACTGTAGAGTGTCTAGTAAAAATTCAAAATCTTTTCTTAGAAAATTTAGATTTAGATTTTGTTTAATCCATTAGAAAGTAGACTCAAATAGCTTTCCAACCATATAAAATTCAAATATTAAAACTTCGTGAATTAATACAGAAAAATAAAACATTCAATGTTGAAAAACTTTGTTCTTGTAAAATAGCTTTCTTAAGTTAATCTATTTCTCAAAACCAATATTATCAAAATTGTATTAAGTCCAAAATGAATAAGTTCACTTTAAAAACAACAATTGGACTTTCATTTAAGCTCAAATAAATAATCTTTAAAGATAGATTTGGTTTGAGAAATATGACACCAAGAAAGGTTTGTTTAAACTTTGAAAATCATATTATTTATTTAGTACCAAAATATAAAACTTAAGAACATGTACTAAATAAATCCTTTTTTAAAATCTTGATCAAGTTTATTTAACTTTAATGTTTTGTCATATCAAAATAAGGATCAATTCAAGGCTAACACATACAATACTATTAATTTTTTTCAAACAGTGTGGCCATCTGTCTTCTATACTACATGATGGAACAAATGTTATTAACCCATTTTTTAATTGTAACCAGCGTCTTTTTACCAAACTTCTTCTAGCTTTTATCTTTTGTATCTATTGGTTTAGTCGAATCACTCAATACCAACTCATATAAAACTTTGTAGAATAAATGATCATTTATTATAGGCTTTCAAATTGAATAATTTGATGTTGTCACTTTTATCATGGAACCTGTATCACTCTTCATAATCTCAAATAGAATTAACTTATGTCTTAGGTTGCTTCTGTATCGATATCTCAAAAATAACATTCGCTCTAATACCACTTATTGGACCTAAAGCAATAAACACAATAATGCATAAATAATATATCGAAATAAACCTATTGCAATAAACAATAATCAATAATCCAAAATGTAAAAAAATTAAAGCACACCAAAATTTACGTAAAAAATTCTCTAGTGTAGAGAGAAAAATCACAGACCACCACAAAAATCTTTACTATCAAATAAATAATATATAAAGTTTTCCTCTAGCTAAAACTAAAGAGACAATTACAAAAATTTCACCAAATAAATGACTTTTTAAATACGTCTTGAATTTATTCCTAAAGAATTTCAAACCCTATCTTCACCATTCAGATTATAAAAAACTAAATCATAAATTTACTGATAAAATTTTAACTCAATTAAATCATAAATCGATTTCTGTTTAATCAACTCTCTTCTCTATTTTTCTTTTTTTTTTTGACTTTTGACTTTTTCTTTTTATGCCTAAACGGCCCCCATTTTTAGTTATTAGCTAGGTCTCCATAAAATTTAAAAAAAAAAAAAAAACCAAAGCCTACGACCTTTAATCGGCTAAAATGACTGAAATTGGACCCCACATTCCTAAACAGGTCTATAAATTTTTATTTCTTGAACTTGACTCTATAAATTTATAAACCAGAAGTTTGCATGCGTAGCATTTGGTGTGTTGGAACTTCGTAGCTCATTTGCATAACTCAATAGTTTTGAAGTAGGCAAAAGCCATGTTCAGGGTAGGCATTTGTGCAACAAAGTTGAATGAACTTTCAAGAATTGAAGCCCTCGTCTCAAAGCCAAAGGTAAGTAAGCGTCTTCTTATTTTTCTCCTAACATATAGTTTTATTTGTGGTTAATATTAGTCAACAATGATTTATTAAAGTTGTGTTGGTGGTTTTCTATTCCTCTGTTATCCCTTTGGCCCTTCAATTTCATAACCTAAAAAACTTCCTAATTTTTCGCTTTCTTTTGCTCTTATTTTGATGCCAAAGCCATAAAAATTATGAAATAATTTGCCTTTTTATTAAACTTCAAAAAGTAATCTCTTTTTGGTCATGATTAGATTTCAAACCCGAAATCTTGAATTTTAAAATTGATTTTCAATATCACTAAATTGATAGTTTATCAGGTTTTGTTTAAAAATATAATACTCTAATAATTTTTTCCTGCGGTTGTTTTAGAAAACTAATATCATGAAATATTGAAAAAAAAAATCAAAATTACAATAATTATTTGTATAAAGTGCTCGAATTTTCACATTTTTTCCTCCCAAATCAATCCTACTTCTTACTCATTTACATTGAAGAAATCGAAACATGTGTGAAAAATAGACTCACCTAGATTTACGTTTATGCTCTTTTTTTCTTCTTTTAAGTCTTAATTTTGTTTTATATTCCTCTGTTTTGCAGCGAAGATGTTGGGCTGGACTTGTCACGGGTGCAATGGAAACTTATGAACCCAGAAATTACAGGTAATGCCATGAAAATTAATATGCCATTTCTTTTTCACTTTGAAATATTTGTATTATTTGCATTTTCAAGTGATTCGGAAAAGTCAATATATTTGTTCTCCTAGTCAACGCACTAAAAAGTATAAAAAAATTAAGATGACAATGAATCGGATCAAATTCGATTTAATTTTTTTAAATAATAAATAAAATTATAAATTTTTAAAATTTAATTCGAATTCGAATCGAATTTCATGTGATTTAATCCAAATCGCATTAAATTTCATCAGTTTGGTTCGATTCATAAGTTTTTTAAATTTATTTTTTTTTGTTTTTTGTATATTATTTTAATATAATTTTTAATAAATTTAAATAGATTTAAGTATAAAATAATTATTTTTATTTTATAAAAATTAAAAAAAATAAAATATATAATTTCATTTAATTTTAATTTTTTTAATTTTTTAATTTTTGATTCTAAATTTAATCCGAACTTCATATATATTTATATTTAATATCTAAACTTAAGCTAAATCAAATAAAAAAAAGATCCAAATCAAGCTAAACACTACAATTTTAAATTAATTTTCAATTTTCTCGATTTTTTTTCTCACCTGTACAAAAGATGCCAAATATTGGAGGTGTTATATGATTCTTATAGTGAGATAATTAATTACTATTCTTATGAGTACAAAAGATAAATCAATTTGGCCAAATTAAATCATAATTGAGATTATACTCTTAAATAAGTTACTTCTATTTAATATTAAAAGAACCCTAATTTGATTCCCACGTTTTGTGTACTATTATCAACAAAATATAGGAAAGCTTCAAAATAAAAAAATATATATACAAGACTTCATTAATCTTTGTTTGGAGTTCTTAAATTTTTATTAAAATTGTATTAGAACATTTGACTCAGCCTGTTGGTATATAATATAGTTGGCCAAGATTTCTACCATTAGCATTTTTGTAGTAGTACCTCTTTGCTGGTTATTAAGTCTAATATAATATTCAATGTTTAACATGGTTTGTGTATAATTGATTTGACAGTTGACCAAATAATTTTCCATTGTTGATTGTCACTGTTGTTTGGGTTTTCATTTTTTTTATATATAATTTTGTGACCTTTAAATCCTTTGTTATCACAGAAGGGAGAAGGCAGAATATGCCAATGTGAACTGGGATGAACTTGGATTTGCTCTAACTAAAACTGATTACATGTATGTAATGAATTGGTCAAAAGAACAAGAAAAGTTTTCCCAAGGAATCTTAACTCGCTTTGGAAACATCGAGATGTGCCCTTCTTCTGGAATATTAAACTATGGCCAGGTGAGATAACTCATCAGCATCACCAGCTTCGATTAAGTTTGTGATGAAAAAAAATCGTTTACAACCAATTTTAATTACCCAAGGCTAAATTATATGAAAAATTGTGACATCAGGGGTTATTCGAGGGACTGAAGGCGTATAGGAAGGAAGATGAGGGAATTTTGCTGTTCAGGCCAGTAGAGAATGCCCTGCGGATGAAGATTGGTGCGGATAGAATGTGCATGCCATCTACAACCATTGAGCAATTTGTCGATGCTGTCAAAAAGACTGTCCTGGCCAACAAACGCTGGGTATTAATCTTGAGACTTGACAGTGACACCCTGCCAGGAAAATATATATATTTCTTGTTCGTGCCAAACAATTTTTGTGCAGTAAAATTTGGGAATACTATTACAGGTACCACCGCATGGGAGAGGAGCACTATATATCAGGCCTCTGCTCATGGGAACTGGCCCAAACCTGGGAGTGAAACCAGCGTCTGAGTACACATTTGTAGCGTATGCTTCCCCCGTGGGCAATTATCACGAGGTACGCTGCTGTCAGATAATTCATCAAAAGTCGAAAACAAGCATGGAAATTTTCTTTATTATTTACTTCTCTTTCTTTTTGTAAGCAAAAATGAAAAGAAATCAGGAGGTTTGTTGTTAAGTACTAAAACTTTTGATTTTGAAGGGTGGTCTGAACCTGATCGTTGAAGACAATCTCTATCGAGCGACTCCTGGTGGTACAGGAGGCGTCAAAGCTGTCGCTAATTACTCACCAGTATGATTTCCTTTTTATACATAATTAAGTTATATTAGACTCGTTTACAGGGAATGGTTAGTGTGAATTATGATTTTCAAAATTGTCAATGGGGCTTTCTCGAATATACTAGTTGGTTGCACATGCAGATTTACAGGGCATTAACTCAAGCAAAAGCCAAAGGATTCTCCGATGTCTTATTTCTCGATGCATTGACTAGAAGAAACATTGAGGAGGGTTCTGCATGCAATATCTTCATTCTCAAGGTAAGACTGACAGGTATTAGAGTAGTTTGTTCAGTGAAAAGATAGAGAATTTTTCCTCAAAAAGAAGCATATCAAGTCTCATATGATAATTCAAAAAACTCATTATGTATTTTTATTCAGGGAAATGTTATCTCAACTCCAACAGCTCATGGGACAATTCTCCCAGGAATTACAAGAAAAAGCATCATTGAAATTGCTTTAACTTTTGGTTACCAGGTAACCGATCAGAGATTACTATTAACTTATGCCCAATTCAACTTCATAAAAAGCTGTTTCATATTTGTTGACCTACCTAGTAACTGTGAACCTCTGGCTGTCAGGTTGAGGAACGACCTGTTCCAATCGAGGAGGTGTTTGATGCTGAAGAAGTCTTTTGCACAGGGACAGCTATGGTTCTCAAGTCTGTTGCAAGTATAACCTACCAGGGTAAAAGGTAAGGAAAAATCTAAGAACCATTGCTCAAATTAAACGTTCGCAGCATCTGCAATTATGCTTCCATTTCATGTAACTACAGTCGTCTGAGATAATGGTTTTCGTTTTAGTTGCTATTTGTATATCAAATTTGCTTATTGTTCATATTAATGCAGGATTAAATACAAAATGGGAGCAGAAACAGTGGCTCAGAAATTGTATGGAACACTAACAGGAATTCAAACTGGCCTTATCGAGGACAAGATGGGATGGACCATTGAGATCGATTAACCTCCTTCCTTTATGATAATACCGAATCGAACCTAGGAGAAAGAGCAACTCTTTAGTTTCAACGGTGAAAGAAATGTTATAATAGCCTAAAATTCGTCGATGAATAAAATTGAGCTACTTCCACCATTAAAAAAATAGAATAAATAAGAGCACTTGAACATTTGACAGAATGAAAATTGCATGTTTCCTCTGCTTAAAAATTGCAATAAAAATCCTATTACCCAAAATAAAAAAATCAAAAGGTCTTTGTTATTTGGCCTACAAACTGATCAAGGCCTTCACTCTTCATGCAATCCAATTAGAGAGCAAAATCTTAAAGCTTCAACCCATCAGATTCAGAGGACTTCTTTATAATCCCATTAAAGGCAAAATCTTAGAACTTCAACGGTCAATTACAAATAACCAGGTAGAGAAAGAAAATGAAAAAAAAAGAGGAGTATAATTAATACAAGTTGAGAATTGTAACTCTTATAAAATGGCCCACCGATTAGGTTAAACTCTAGACCAATCGCCAAATATGAATCAAAATTAACAAACTGCTTCAGAAACACAGAAGGAATACAATTTTGGTAAATATTTAAATAACAAGATGTTAGTATAATACATCAGTTTGTAATTTTAAGACTGTCTAGATGGGTTACAAACAGGTCATTCCATGTATCTGCAATTCCCGGTAAGCACCAATGCATGCAGTCATCATGTTTCTTTCCTCCAGCCGTAGAAGGGTGGGCATCTGCTCTGAACTCACTCATACGCGTAACATCTAAGATGTGGAAATTAGATCCCTTGAGGGCCTTGTATAGGTGTTGATTCACAAGGCGTGCCTCCACATTTGTCCCATTATTCTTCAATGAGAAGAGTTCTTCCACCTAAAAAAGGATATATCAAATCAAACATTTTTAACCTGATCCAAAGGGGAAAAAAATCAACAGAGAAAGTAGTTTGTTTTCCTCAAAAAAAGATGGAAGCAATCAGCATATAATAAGATGCAAGTCGCATTTAGATTAAACTATTATAGCGTTCAACATAACTAGCAAAAAGTAGCAATAACTGAAAGAGACTCACTTGTTCAGGTAACAAAGGCTGTAAACGCTGACATGAACCAACTTGGTCCCATTCGCCGCCTTCAAAATGCCTGGGTGATTGCGTGCGAAAAAATTTAATAGCACCTGTTTGCATGGTTTTCTCCACAAATTGTATCTGCCATCAACAATAAAACAAGTTATGAAAGGGAAAACACACACAAACAAAAGAAACAAATAATGGTAATGTTCACATTAATGGAGTATATTGTTATTTCCAAAGTACTAAGAAATAATGATCAGAACAAAGAAAAAATAGTATCTATAACTCCGCCAACGCTGAGTGTTCTGTAAACAAAATTTGCATGCCTCTGAGAGAACCTGACAAAGTATAGAAGCATTTAGCCAGTTCAAGCTGTATGTCAGCTCATGTAGGCAGCAGCCACCAAATAAGCTAAGCACCCTACGTGCATCTTATTAAAAAGTCCATTAAACACAATGTGCAATAACATACCATGTGTTTTAAAACCTTATCCAAGCCAACATCAGGGGCTATGGGAGGGATAACAGGCAGACCCTTTTCAAAGAAAAACATGGGTGACTTGACTGGATCAAATTTTGAAGGAGCCCACCACCTATGAAAGAAAAATCAAAATCGCAAATCTAACTCAAGAAATCTCAAATAACAAAATGGAAACATATGGATTAGAAACACAGGAAATTGTGACTAGGAACCAACATAAATATATAACACATCCACAAATTACACAGCTAGTGCCAAAATGCTTTGATGAGTGCATGTAACTTGACAAAACCATATCCAACTTACGTAATTTAACTCGTCAATAGGGATCCACTTTGGTCATTTTCATTTAACATGCTAAAAACAACTTAGGACAAACAAACAAGCACATAAACATATGCTACCATATCATGCAAATAAAAAATATAGAACCAAAATCTCAACAAGTCATCAACAGTCTGCAAAATACTAAAATCGAAAATGAAAATTACCAGTGTCCTGTGTTAAAGATTAGTATATCATGGAATCTTGGGGCCTTTTCCCATGTGCCTTCTGGAATATCAACATCAACTCTATAACCCTCTTTATACCCAAGAGCTTCCAACTTACCACCATTACCACTAGCAGACCACCTGCATTAAACAAGACGGAGAACAACTTTAAACTCAACCAAGACACCATGGAATAAAAACACAAACCCGAAACACCTTACTAGCAATATTAACAAAAGGAAAAGCCTTAAAACAGCTTACCTACCATAGCGTGCCAAAAGATTAGTTCGATGATATGCAATGGTAAGATTATAGCGAATAAAGGTGAAGCCGCGATCAGCCCCAGCGGGACGCCATTTCTTCACGTCACCAGACACACGTTTCAGAGTGCAAAACAAAGAAACAAACATGTTTCTGTTTAAGGAATCACCAACAAACCCTGCACTGTTGAATATTGGTTAAACCTACTAATAAACCATAATATATCTCAACATAAACTCCAACATAACTAAAAATGTAATTTTTTTCCTCAAAAAAATGAACATTTTTTTTTAAATGGAACCCTAACTGCTTCAATTAAATAACTTCAAAAGTATACTAACAAGCAACTAAATTTCACTTGTAATTTCCCTCGATAGAGAGAGGAGAGTACCAATGTTAGTATCTCTGTAAGTGTGAAGAAACTTGAGCGGATCGAACGGCTGGAGATGGCAGTTACGAGGCTTCCATCGCCACTTAACGATATCTCGACCGTTTGATTTGTTCTTCAAAATGCAATTCCATCCTTTGAATATTTCCTTGCAGCTACTGTCATACCTATCGAATCTCGCATCCGGGTCGTAGATCCACGACCCGTCGGAGTAATCGCATGAAGAATCGGCCGACGCATAGGGGTCGGATCCACTGGTGGCATTAGCGTGGACGTTATTGGTGGCGTTGATGGGTTTAAATTGGAGGAATTGGGAATGAGTTGGAGAAGAGGAAATGGAGGCTTTTCTAGAAAGAGAGAGAAGGAAAAAGACTGAGACGAAGCAGATGAGAGAGAATACAGGAAACAGAGATGAGAGTTTCTTTGTTGCTGCCATGGCGATTATCAATTAACCATTTTACACTTCATAAAAGAGCTAACCACTAACTGGGCCTTTTTTCATTTTTTGGGCGAAGGCCCAGTGGCATAAATAGAGATCTAGTATCACCCTGAAGCGTTGCTGTTGTTGTCTTTTTTTTTTTAAAATAATAATTAAATTATAAGATTATTAAATTAAAATGAATAATATTTTATAGTTTAAGGCGTGAATAAAGTTTTAATGGATTATTCACTTTTATTTTTAAGTAGATTTGGATATATATTTGATAATTGTGTTTTTTCTAAAATTTTATTTAATTGTGACATATGTTAGTTTTCGAATATTACGGATATTTGGTATAATTAAAGAAAATATAAATTAAAAATATAATTTAATTAATTTATATAAATATTGTTTGGATATTAAATTTAATAGTTTTAAGTTTCAAATTTTATAAATTTTTTATAAAAAACTCATAATTATGTTTTAGTATGATTAATACTAATAAAAAAATGGAGATTAATCATTAATGACTATGCACCAGCTTAAATTGTAAAGAGGGACCATTTTGTATCAATATGCTGAACACGAGCCAACCTGTAGGGTTATATCTACTAATGCTATCGATGGATCTACAAAGCAAGTTCGCCCAACTCCGAAGTGTCTAGTCGATTATAGTGTAATTATGAGCTACAGCTTTGAGCGGCCAAGCCATCTTCTTGGACCATTTCCCTTGTAACATCATTAATCATTAAATATTAATGAAAACGGTACTTAAGATTCTCTTAAACGTAAATTAAGTACAGATCTTGGCAGTGGCTGATAGTAATTCTTGTTTTTTATTTGAGTTTATTAAAATTTAATTTTGATTATTAATTTTAAAATTTTAATATTTTATTAATAAATCATATAATTATTAATAATTTTAATTTGATTGTCTTATAACTAATGTTTAACTATAATCCCATTTTTAAAAATTTTTATTGCATTAATCTCAAAGGCGTAAGACAAAGTATTTTCATAGCTAATCATTTGTATAATTCCTTTAATAGATACATTAAAATTAATCATATCTAATTACTAGTAAATTATTATAAAAATCTTTTTTATCATATCAACTGTTTATCAGAATACAATCAAAATACAAATACGTCAAAAGAAACCTATAGTATGTAACGATGTCCCCACATCACCGGCTTTTTTTTTGTTTTTGGGTGCATATTTAACCGGCTGTTCGAACGTTGCAGAATCAAAGAAAAAACGGTGACAAAGATCACTGACAACGGCTTAAAACAACTTATGTAAATGAATAAAATTTTTAATAAATTATTCGTAAATATATTTAATTTTTGTTTAATTATTAAATTTAATAAATAATTTTAAATAATATTTTTATATTTATTTATTAAATAAGTTGAATATAAAAAAAGATCTTTAGAATTTATTTAGTGCATTTATATTTACAATAATTTGTTTAAATTTTATTTATTTATTTATTATTTATAAACAAACTAATAGAAATGATTAAATTAATTTTTTTATCAAATATAAATTAAATTAATTTAATTTTAAAATTAAATAAATAAATCATAAATATATATATTTATCCATTCATATTTAATCCGTTGATCATCTTAAACCTGAAATTGATGGGAACCACAGCTTACCCTTAATCACCACAAGGGTAAAGGTAAAATAAAGTTTGTGTATGATATCAGCTAGAAGACACCACAAAACATATTTTGACCCTAGAAAAAGCAAACAAGGCAAAGCCATGCGGTTGTCGCTGTTGAAAATTATCTGATAGGGCTGGCCCGCTAGGCAAGTGAATGGCGACAGAATACCAAATTGTTGTTTTTTGCTTGTTGCCATCATGCACATTAGAGTTGTTTATGCCACGCTCCTGTGTAACCTTTCTTTTTCATTTCATGCTTTACAAAAATTTAATCTTATTAACTAATAATCCACATCACTTATCGGTGCCCCCCACCTGGCTCACCTGTGTTCTACTTGAGTGTAGAATCAAAGTCTCGTGCCATGTTGCACTTGTATTCTAAGTCCCATTGACTTGATCCATAAAAAAAAAAAGAGTTAAATGTTTTAAATCATTTATAAACTATAATAAAATGGTTTAAACCGGATGCTTTAAAATTAAAATTAAATTAAATTGTTTGTAAATTGCATTTTTGAAAAAAAGAAAAAATGCATTAATATATAAAATCAATAAAAAATTAAAAGATAATTATATGTGGCGTAATGTGATTTCCATGCGAAGAAGCGTAAGTAATTTGTTTAATTTTATCCCCGAATTTAATGGGTCAAATTGTTGGACTAGTATTTTTGTTTCCCGGTATTAAGCTAGTAGAGTGAAAATAATCTTCTTCGCTATTTAAAAAATAATGTAAGTTTTTATTATTTTATTAAAAATAATAATACATATTAAATAAATGTATGATTTAATGATATTAAATTTAATTCAAAGATAAATAAAATTAATTAAAAAGAAAAAGATTTATATATATGTTAATTCTAAATGTAATTAAAATATATTATTCACTTAAATAAAATTAATAAAATATTTTAACCTTTTTTTTAGGTAATAAAAAGATGCTTTCCTTGTTTTCCTATAATAGAAACTTCATCTCTCTCGATAAGTATTACTACACAACACGAAAAGCGATAAACTCAAATCTCAGAACCGGATAGATTGGAACCGTATATGATTTCCATTTCCATCCACAAGGCACAAGCCATTAGCCACAGGTCGCTCTCTAACCGGACCCAAACTCCAACCTTTCCTTTTCACGCCAGATCGGCGGCTTACTCCACTTTTTTCACTTTACCGGCGAGTCGTATACTTTTATGCTCTCTCTCCTTCCTTTTCTATTAACAAAAAAAAGAAAGAAAAAAAACAAAAAAAAGGTTTTTTTTGCATTTTCTAAAAAAGAAACGACCAGCTGTTAGCAATGGAGGTGGTTTTTCACCTCTGTTCATCGTTTCTCTAACGACAGCTCTAGCGTTTCTTTTTTTTTTATTTATTTGTTTTTCGACAGAGAGAAACTGAGGAAGAGAGATTGAATGGCGGTGGAGTACAAATGTTGCGAGGCGGATTTCTTTATTCACATATTGATTATAGTATTGTTAGTGGTGTTCGCTGGGATGATGTCCGGCCTTACTTTGGGCCTTATGTCCATGAGTCTTGTTGATCTTGAGGTTCTTGCTAAGTCTGGTACTCCTAAGGATCGTAAACATGCTGGTATTTCCTCTGTTTCTTTTCCTTTTCGAGAATCAGATCTAATGCGGATTTTATTTATTTATTTATTTATTTTGGAATCAAGGAAAGAAAATAAAAGAATCAAAATGTTGATAATATATCTTTTATTGTGTTGGCGATGGCAATGATGTGGATAAATGCCTTAGCTTTACTTGAAATCTTTGCTTTATTTTAATTGAATGATATAATCATTACTTTTTGAGCGAGTTTATGTGAAGTTATCTATATTTCTTTGTAATTTATGATTCATATTTTTTTTTAAAGAACTCTAGCAAATAAAGTAACATAATCTATGAATTTTAAGTAGTAAAGTTTTTACTGCATAGAAAATTTTGTTCCTAAAATGCAGCAAACTTTGAAGGATAGATTTAGGAATTACATGAGAAAACTGAATATTGATCCAATAATGAAGTTAATTAAATTATTTTCAGATATTGCTTTATATAATCCATGTTAAACATTGAGATTAAATGCTGCTTATGCTAACTTTATCCCTTGTTGGAACAGCAAAGATATTGCCGGTTGTCAAAAAACAGCATTTGTTGCTTTGTACTCTACTTATATGCAATGCTGCCGCAATGGAGGTACATAAATGTAAACACATCTTCAACAGGTGATTTGGTTACATGTGTTGGAAAATGTTAATGTTTTGCAACTTTTTGTTACTTTTATCAGGCGCTTCCTATTTTCCTTGATAGTCTGGTCACAGCTTGGGGTGCTATCCTGATATCAGTGACCTTGATTCTTCTGTTTGGTGAGGTGAGAATCCACCTTAGATTATTTGAATTGAAAGCACTTTTGGATTCAGCACGAGTAGAAATACTTGTTGGACCCTGAACATGATGATTTGTGATACGACTATTTTGATGTGTGTTAGATATTATTTGCTAAAATTTTGGCTGAGCAACTTTTTCATAAAGGGTTGGTTTTAAAATTGTCTTCCAATCATTTTGGCTTAAGACTAGCTCTTGGAAGGTGAAATTTGGTATAGCTTTAATAAAAAGGCCGCAGGTTTTGTGCATGTCCTAATTGCAATTTAATTGTATGTCCAGATAATACCACAATCTGTTTGTTCTCGACATGGTTTGGCAATTGGTGCAACAGTGGCTCCAATCGTTCAAGTTCTTGTTTGGATCTGTTTTCCTGTTGCCTACCCAATAAGCAAGGTGATGAATCTTGCTATAATTACTCACCATTAATGCCTTTTTAACAGTGAGAAAGACAATCAAGCTTTTAAATTCCTGCAAATATCTCCCTTGACTGATCTTATGTCATTTTCAGCTGTTAGACTTTCTGCTGGGCCATGGACATGTAGCACTTTTTCGAAGAGCTGAGTTGAAAACTCTAGTAAATTTGCATGGCAATGAGGTGTGCTTAACAGCTTCTTAATATTTTGAGAAATACTATAAAAAGGTTTTTAGTTTTCCTATAGTCTTGTTCATCATTTTGTTCTGTAACTTAGTTGTTATTACCTGGCTGTTGCCATTTATCGAATCAATGCTTGTTTTTTATCCTTAATTTCACCCGTCATGCCATTAATTTATTACACTTGTTAGTTTCTGACTTTGGTTAACTGCCCTTGTAATTGATGCATCTTTGCTTTCTGAATTGCAATGCCTTCTTTCAGAGGATCTGCTTTCTTTCATTGCAAGTTTCAGATTTATGATCCTTTTATTGGACCTTTATTAGGCTGGAAAAGGGGGAGAACTAACGCATGATGAGACAACAATTATAGCTGGAGCACTTGAGCTTACTGAGAAAACAGCTAAAGATGC